TGTATATCGTCTGAATGTCGATTGGATGAAGAATTATCTTTTTCCTGGCTTTTTTTTTTTAAATAATCTGTTAGATAAAAATATTTTTTCTGTTCTAAATGCGTTCTGTAACACATTCTCAACTTGCAATGTGTTATATAATTTATTTATTTTTAATTTCCCTTCTAACTACACCAAGTTACACTTTCTTGTGTCTCTGATCGATGCGAATAAGACGCGGTGTTTTACTTTCAGATAATATCCGACTAGATATTTTTGAACTGAAGTTGGATGTACTAACTTTGTTGCTGGTTAATTCCAATCTGACAATTCCCGTGACTCTGCATAACGGGATTATTCCGCGGGGATTGCATAACCTACGGTTTTTTTTTGGGGGGGGTTGTTTTTTTTAGCTTTTTATGTTTTCATTCTTATTTTTAAACTAGTAAATGATAAGTATATCTTCATTAAATCGATAGCGTACAAAAGCATCTACGCGTCCTTGTGGGTGGCAAATTATTTTCCTCCCTACAACCCCTTCCCTCACAGACGAAACATCGCAAGCCTTTCGCTGCTCTATCGCTATTTTCATGAAAAGTCTACTCGAGCAGCTTTTTCCCACGAGGAACCGACTCCCTAGAGGATGCTTCCCAATCACTACAATTTTAACCTATTCAAGTTAAGCATTATCTTCCCACATATCCGCATAAACTGTTCCTCATACTCTGTAAGCCTCTAACTCGAGTGGCTTCCGGGCCTTTTACAGGTTGAAGATCACTGTAAAAAATATCAAATTATGATGCCTCTTTACTTCTGCCAAAGTAGAAAATAAATACAGGGTGTCCGAAAATACTGTATACACTCTTTAAATATTAATAGTTAATAATCCATTACCGTGATGTGAGAACATATATGGATGAAAATATACAAAACAGATGGATTGGAAGAAGAGGGACAGTTGAATCCCCACCTAGATCACCAGATTTGACACCCTTGGATTTCTTTTTGTTGAGGGTTTCTAAAAGACAAAGTTTAGAGCAGGAAACCTGAAGCAATTTTTGAAATGAGAGTAGCAATTGAAGAAGAATGTGCTCAAATACCAGAGGAAATGATACTGGACGTTTCTATTTCTTCAAGATATGAAAAGTGTATTGAACAGAACGGCAACCATTTTTAGCACTTGATGTGAACTCATCATTATATGAACATTCTGTCATTACCCCAAGTAGCTTTCATCTTATTAAAGTTAATTTTCTATGTTTTTTTTGTATATTTTATCCTCAAATTCTTTAAATGTGTATTCTTTCTCTTATATTAATCTTAGTTACAAGTCAAAATACATAAATTGAATAAGTTATAACGATTCAAAGAGTGTATATATTATTTTGGGACACCCTGTATAATAGCCTTTTCTTCTTGATGTTACCTGAACCAAAGAGTATTTATCATCCACTGTAGCACACCAGTGACAATATAGCCCGTGGATTGACAAAACGCAAGATGTGGATTCATGCCTTGCTAAAATGATTGCTAATAGGAGCTACTGGAGAAATTATTCTTCTATGTAAACAACCATTAGGCTAACGTTCACCTATATCAATTACGCATTTGTCTGAAAATATCAATGCGATCGTAGTCCATTGTAATTTTGTTGAAACACTAGCATAGTACCCGTAAAAAATAACGTTTTATTTTAATATTCATCGGTACTCCTGCCAAGGAGTGCCTCTGCATAGGATCAGTGTAATATCTGTGCGTTCTATGGAAAGCGACGCACAGACGGGCACGCACACATACAATGTATCCAACAACTACTTATTAATAATAATAATAATATAATAGCTGGCGACTCGTATTCGGGGATACCCGTCTACTAGTCCAGCTAGCCAATCCCTATTGCAGACGCTCCCTCAGGCACATTTGTGTTTATTCTACACCCAATTTCACTTATAAGGCATGAGTCAACCCGTGGTATGGTTTTCAGGCACTTTCACGCTGTGATCCTCTCCCTCCAGGCCGATGACATCAGGAAGTCTTATTTATATTCACATGACGTCAGAGTTCGAAAGAGCAAAGGATAAGCGGATGTGATGAAGAAGATCCGAGGAAAGAAACATGGAGGGTAAGTAAGAAATCTAAAGGAAAATGTGAACGAAAAGCCTGTGAATCTAAAACAATAAGGGACAGAGACAGAAGAAGATATATTTGGGGTGGGGTGTATTTAATTGGGTGTAACTCTATTATTTTTTTTTCTCTCGCTTAGCGTGTGACACACAATACAGAGGAAGGTTAGCAGACACTTCAGTATCGATATGTAGATTCTTACACAAATAACCCACTTGTTCTTTTTCTCTTTTTCTCTTTCTCTTGTATTTATAGTAGTAGTAGTAGTAGTAGTAGTAGTAGTAGTATATAGCAACAACAGCTGTAGCTGGTATTGTTGGTAACATGTTTTTTCGAGTTGAAAGATAATTGTTTTTTGCGACAGTTTTTTTCTATTGACAAGCACATGAAATATTGACGATTAAAACACACACATGCACACACACACACACTCTCTCTCTCTCTCTCTGTATATATATATATATATATGTACGTACACACAAACATATATACATATAGAAATATATCATATATATATATACATAAACATATATTATTAAATATAACAGACAATGAATGTCTATTATGTCTGATCATGAGCCGGTCTAATGTTCGAATGTTTGCTTTAATTTCAGGTGAAAATAAAGACAAAAATTGTCCAACATTTGGACATTTTTAATTAAGTTGGTCCTTGATCATTCATTGTCTGCTATATTTAACAATATATGTTTAAATAATGATCTGCTCCCCTAATACACTACACACACACACACACACACACACACACACACACACACATATATATATATATATATATATATATATATATATATATATATAATTTTAATAACTTTGGGAACGGGTCCCTCACGTGAAAATAAGGACAAAAGTCCACATAAACATATGTCTGCAAATTATTAACTTATTAAGTTTAAAGAAAGTTTACGGTAGATGATGCTGTGTTGCCATTTAGACCAGGTTACATTTGTCATTCTTGTACATTTGTGCCTAGTACGTCTTCAAGGTGAAAATGTGTAATAGTGAGTTAACTGAGAAGTGTTCCGTTTAAGCATGACAGGATATTCATATTGTGAGCAAATAGATATGATTTTTACATACGGTCCCGCGAAAGGTGATGGAGGCGTAGCTGCACGGCTGTAACAGACTGTGTTTCCTGACCGAAGGCAGCCGAGCGATCCAAGCTTTCTTGCTTTTTATCCTCGCGTTGGTGAGACAGGATCGGTGGCTCCACAAACTATGGATTGAGGAAGAGCAAGATCCAATCGTACGCCTGACCACGAAGAACACATTCTACAGAGGATCTTTGTACATCAACACAGCCTTTTGGACATTTTATGTGGTCATTTTGCTTTGCTTTAGTGCGAGGAACCCGCCCCAAAAATTTGTAAAAGTATTTTTGATACTCCCTGTGTATATGTTGAGTTACTTACCAATGCCTGAAGAAAGACAATCATAGTATTGAAACATTAAAGCTTTTGTGTAACGATTTCAAATTATAATAAAAATATAATAATAATATATTGCTCTACTTTGTATTGAACACATTTAAAAAAGATAAATGCTACTAATAGTGGATTTTTACTCCACCTGTTCTTTCTCTCATTTGTTTATATATATATATATATATATATATATATATATATATATATGTGTGTGTGTGTGTGTGTGTGTGTGTGTGTGTGTGTGTGTGTGTGTGTGTGTGTGTGTAAGATAAGATAAAGAACAAATAGGAAAGGTACGTCAATCTAAAATGTTTCAATATTTCTTCTGTAGCTTTAATAAAAGTGATTGATAAGCGTTTCCTATTTGTCCTTTATCTTACCATCCTGTCAGATTCCGATACATTATTGATCTGCATTTCATCTTTAATTCATCTCTCTCTCTCTCTCTCTCTCTCTCTCTATATATATATATATATATATATATATATATATATATATGATATGAGATGATGAGGATGATGATGGACTCTCCCATCATTTTCGACATATGAGTCTCTTTCATTTCAGTTTTTATGTTTCGATGAGACAACGATCCTGCACAGGATTTGAACAAGTCCACACGAGGACACACACATATATATATATATATATATATATATATATATATATATATATATATATATATATATATATATATATATACATACATATATATATGTGTGTGTGTGTGTGTTATTTTTTTGAGCATTTCCTAGCACCCGGAACATCAGTCATTCAGTTAAGTGCCAAAAAAAAGATCGGTTTCATCATTTTTAATATTACTTCATGCTGTCTTCATTTGACTGTGCGCGTCGTCTTTTTTTTTCTTTGCCTTTTTTATCGATATATGTTTAGCATGATTGTCCCATTTTCATTAATGTTAGATTGTTTTCCTGCTGAATGGTTCTATTATTTGCAATCGTTTTTTACATTTTATGTGCTATAGTATTTTGTGGTATTAATAAGGATTTGTTGCGTTTCTTGTTACCTTGGTTGATGATATGTGATGTTTTGGAACTATTATCAGATAAATGTCATAATAATCGGCATGATACTGTAATAGTTTTGTAAGCAATTTCTTATTATTGATTCTTTTAATATGTCGTCGTTTTTTACAGTTTATGCGATATAATATTTTGCGTGATTGCCAGATAAGGATCTGTGGGGATTTCTTATTCTTTCTGTATTGGTTTGGTGATATGTGATTTAATTGGGTTTACAATGAGATACGCTAATATATATATATATATATATATATATATATATATATATATATATATATATACTTTATTTTTTATTAAATCGAAAACATAGTAAAAAAAAACACAAATGCAATCATTTTCGATGTATTAAACATGTTAATAAATTGAAAATTGAATTTGCGAACGTTGGAATTGGATTCTATTCATTCTCATTTTACAGATTAGATAGATAGATAGATGTAAGAGAGAGAGAAAGTGCTGAAAAGTTTTTGTCGCGAGTGAAGCGGAATAAAATAAATAATTCTGATATTTGGCTATTTCGACTGAACGCTAAAGAAATGGAGATGTTTGACATCGTGAAAATGGACTGGCGGATGCTAGTTGCGAAGTTCAGATCTGGTTTGTTATTCTTTTTCATCTGCCTCCGAAATATTAATGAAAGGCTGGTGACGTTTCGTCTGTGTGATAAATGTTGCCTTGTATAAAATAATTTATTACCTACAAGGCTGCGTAAGTACTTTTGAACTCAGCCGAGGATGGGTAGGAAAGATCGAGTAGAATCAGCCCAGATATGGCATCAATACTGCATTCTTGATCTGATCTGACTCTTATAAAGATAGGGCATGGCGGCAAGAGTTTGGTATCTTCTGCAGCAAACAAGGAACCGATTATTATTCCAGCATCTTTTGCGATGGAACCTAATGTCCGTGTTCCATCATAGGTCGGGAGTGAGCTTTAGAAGGTGTAGACATTCAAGGCGAGGGATCATTTTTGAGGGTAGGACCACTCATCAGGATTTGTGCAGGTTTACCGTCTGCTTGGAGGGTGATGAAATGTTACGAGTTTAGTTTGGGATGTACTGAACGATTTGTACCAGTTCTTTTGTCTCCATTGAGTTGTGACAGTTAGGTTAGAGGGGCCATCATCATACTTGGATGAGCATCCTTACACTGGGGTATAATTTATATATATATATATATATATATATATATATATATATATATATATATTTTACTAAAGATCTGATAGTGTTCTTGGCCAAATCATTAACATAACAGATGGTAGGACCGAGGAGAGAACCTTGGGGGATACCAGCATTGATTCCATGTGCTTGAGGGGGACTGGCCATTAACAATGACCTTCATAAATCTACCTGAGAGGAAAGACTTTATAACTGATTTGATTCTCTTAATGATTACAAAGCTGGTTGGTTTGGATATATATATATATATATATATATATATATATATATATACAAAGAAATAATCACACATAGAATCAATCAGAAGTATTAATGCGATTATTGGCAACATCCATCGCTAGAAAACATAATATATGCATTAAAATACTGTTAATCCATAGTGCGAGTTGATCCTCGTCGATAAACTTGTTGTCTGTAGTTTTCAGTTTATTTGATGTTAAAATGCTAGTACTTACGAATAGTCGTCTATTCATCATCAGGCATGTGTTTTTTTCCTTATAAAATCAAAAACTTGGAAACGATATACTTGTATGTCGACCGAAAGATGTTTTTTGAATATCTGCTATTATTGACGGTTGTGTAAAATCTCGTAACAGATTTAATGTTTAGTATAAAGCTTAGAAAAAATTCGCAGTGTGAGATAGGCAAGAAGTAAGGCATGTAGCAACATCAGCACGGCAAAGTGCACTCCTTTAAAGGCAAGGAAGGGCAAAAATATTTTAAGCCAAGTGATAGCGATTGCTGTATTAGTCGTACGATTTTTGAATCAAGCACGATAAACGCCAACTGCTAGTTAAAATAAACTGGATATGTATGTATATGGGAAAATATTTTAAAATACGTATATCTTGAAATACTAAAATTTATTCAATAAAGTAGCCATTGGCTTCATCGACGGCCTACAGACGACTTCGGAATCTCCAACAACTCTCCTGGACGGTCTCCTTGTTTAATTGGTTGAATACTGCCATAATCCTTGCCTTCAGTTCACCTTTGGTGTTACAAGGAGTTTTGTTTTTTGTTTTTTTTCAGCTGCGCTTCTCATATATAATCAAGAGGTTAGCAGTCCGGGAAGTTAGGTGGCCAGATATAAGGGGTGGTCGCAGAAATTGTCTGACAGCCATGACTGGGTACTCTTGCTTGTGTAGCATGGTGCAGAGTCCTGCTGCCAGACATAGGGTCTTCAAGCAGCCACCCTCATGACCCAGGGCAGCACTCCTCAAGGCACTTGATGTTGGCCTCCGTGTTGAGTCCGAGGCCCTGTGGGAAGATGAATGGAAGCATAACATCGCCATCACGAGTGATCGTTCCAAACACCTTCGTAATCACCATTAGACTCATCCAACTCTTTCCAAATCCTTTGCACTGGTCATCGAAACATTCTGAAATGTTTGTATTGGAGCTTCCGATGTGAATGCCAAGTAGCCGTCAATAAATTCAAAAGCAAACAACGCGCATGCGCCAAATTAAAAATATAAAATGGCAACAATTTAACCATTGCACTCTGTGTATGTATATAATACATGCGCAATTTTATTTTTGTACAGAATATTTTTGCAGATAAGCCTGTTTTATTATATTTGGTGCTTCATATTCATTGAGCAATGATAAGTTGCAAGACATTAGATAGTTTGCTTATTTCTACTTTGCTGATTTAACTTATTAGTGTGTTTGTGTGTGTGTTACCAGAGTTGACCCTTGAAAATACTCGGCTCACAGCTTGAGATAGATATCGGGGTTTTTCCAGACAGTAACAAATTGATTTCATGTTGTATACTGGAATGAAAGAAAGGAAAGAAAAAGAAAGAAAAAAAATCTAATAAAGCAGAAGGAAGGAAGGAAGAAAAGAAAGAAACAAACAAATTCGAATAAAACAGAAGGAAAGAACAAAATACTAATAAAGCAGAAGGAAGGAAGGAAGGAAGGAAGGAAGGAAGGAAGGAAGGAAGGAAGGAAGGAAGGAAGGAAATACGAATAAAACAGAAGAAAAGAACGAAATACTAAGAAAGAAAGAAAGAAAGAAAGAAAGAAAGAAAGAAAGAAATACGAATAAAACAGAAGAAAAGAACGAAATACTAAGAAAGAAAGAAAGAAAGAAAGAAAGAAAGAAAGAAAGAAAGAAATACGAATAAAACAGAAGGAAATAACGAAATGTTAATAAAGCAGAAGGGAGGTAGAAAGGAAGGAAGGAAGGAAATACGAATGAAACAGAAGGAAAGTACAAAATGCTAATAAAGCAGAAGGAAGGAAGGAAGGAAGGAAGGAAGGAAGGAAGGAAGAGAACAAAGAAGGAAGAGAGTTAAGAAGGAAGGAAAGAAAAAAGAAGGAGGGATAGATAGAAGGAAGGAAGGAAGGAAGGAAGGAAGGAAGGAAGGAAAAATCAATAAAACAGAAGAAAAGAACGAAATGCTAATAAAGCAGAAATAAATATTAATAAAAAAGAAAGAACAAAAGAAGAAAAATAAAGAAAGAAATGATAATTAAAAAGCGAAAAATGAAAGAAAGAAAGTGAGAACATAATAATGGAGGTTGATATTGGCGCCAAGATGAAATTCATATCAAGACAAATAAATACAGATGATAAGGAAAGACTGATCGATCGAGTAAATATTTTTGTAGTTCTCTGTCTCTTTAGTCCTTTCAGTCATCAATTATCAGTGGTAGGTTCGTTTATTAATAAATGACCAGATTATCAGGTACGACGAACGCAAATCCTACGAACTAGACTGGCACCATTACGACTCACTCACCGAATAATGAAGCCCACTTTTCCCCTTTTTCGATTATTATCTTAAAGGCCTCCCTGTCGTCTGTACGGCGAATTTTAACATCGCTGTTTTTTTTTTCTTTTCATGCACCAAAACATATGCCATTGGCACATACATGAAAATGATTAGGTCGTTTGTAGATATATTTATTACTCTTTAACGTGAATCGGAATCCCTAGGAAAGAATCACTCGTATCATCTGCCGGGTGTTTGCTTCTGTGTTATGCTAATCAGGAGAATTTGTCATTTGGTTTCAAAGCTTATCCCAGGAACAGCCAGTTTCATTACTTCTTTCTGACTGATACGAAATTGGAGAAAAAAAAATCGATAAAACTCTTTTGAATTCTTTATCGTTGTCCACTTTTTCTAAAGTCGCTTATCTGATAATTTTTATAACCTAATTGGTGAATTCGTTAAGCATAATCTCTATATAAATACGCTTGTTTGAAACGGTCTACCTACCTATCTACCTACCTACCTACAGTATGCGTAAATCTTCCTATTTTAACTTAAAAACTATATTAGCGATTCTAGTGGGACAGTAATAAAACGCGTGTGCGCTCGAAATGATTTGAGATAAAAATGGAGACTCTCTACTCGATATCTAACCAATGGGATGATAATTAACACTGACACAGAGTCAGATAAAAGAACAATATATATATATATATATATATATATATATATATATATATATATATATATATATGCAGAACATTTCAGAGTGGGTGAGAGAGAAAGAATGGACTTCTCACGGAAAGAGGCTGAATCACATCATCCTTGGATGGAGAATGTCTGCTTGTACCTAACCAATGCGATGCGAATTAAAACTGATGCGGCGTCAGATAAATGAACGCTATACACACAAACATATATTCCATAATGATTCATCATGTTTAGAATCGGACTACTCAACGCACACACATGCAGAAAAACACTAGACGCCCGTTTCATCCTTTTTGGAACTCATGAGCAGTGCACATTTTTTACCAACTCTGAAAGTCGAACAAAGACTGCTCTGATACGAAGCAAGCATCATACCATTGGGCTAACGGGATACGATATCGATGGGATAATATATATATATATATATATATATATATATATATATATATATATATATATATATATATATATATATATATGTTTGAATAAAACAGATCACTTTAAGGTTCCATGTAATAAGTTATTTCACCACAACCCTTTTAAAGGGCTCTGGATCATCAGACTTTACTCCCAAAAGTTGAAATCAAAAATGAAAAGAAACTCACATATTTTTGACGGACCGCACCAAGCGTATGTGAAATTAACGAAGTGAGGAAGTGAGGTGGGAGAGAAGATATGAGTGAGTTAGATGTACCATTTTCAATTCCTTATCCTTAATCCCACTTAACGTATGCTATCTAGATATAGATGGGTAAGGGGGTGAGGGAGAAGACCGACTTAAAGGTGGAAGATACAGTTAACAATAAAATAATAAATCATGTCCATGAGAGCAGGATTCACTCAAATTCTTAGATGCTGTTATTTCGCATTCCTTTAAAGGGTATCTTTGGGGGTTAGAGTTTGATATAAATCTAAATGTCTAAAAATCTACAACGAATTTAATTTGAAGTTTGTTGGAGTTTTGGGTATTTTCTATGAAATAGTCGATTGGAATAATTCATAGAAAGTACATTGAAAAATAATCCATTTTATATCTAGTAATCCTTTTTATTTTCCTAAACTTTTTTCTTATAGCTTGTTAAGTTGACATCTATTCGTTTGATTCTTGTTCATAAATTAAATTCGTTACTGTTTTTAGATACCTAATTATCAAGGTTTATGCCAATTCAAATAATTCTACCATCAATAATGATTATTAAAGGGTAATATATTTCAATTTAAATTAAATTATCAATTTAAAATTTACCTCCGTATTATTTATTTAAACTCACTTCCAATTGGAGAATATTAGAGGAGAGAATTGGATAAAAGATTACTAACAGAAAATTAGGTCCTTCTTTTACAATATTCTATATATTCGTACACATACTTTTTTCTTGTTGATTATTCAGTTGACATCTATTCGTTTGAGTCTTGTTCATAAATTAAACTCGTGACTGTTTTTAGATACCTACCTAATTATTATCAAAGGTTGTTCCAATTTAAATAATTTATCATCAATAATGATTATTAAAGGGTAATATATTTCCATTCAAATTAAATTACCAATTTAAAATTTACCTCCGTATTGTTTAAACTCACTTCCAATTGGAGAATCCTAGAAAATTAGGTCCTTCTTCTACAATCCATACACATACACACCTCTACACATATCCGAACTCCTATCTTTATCTACATACCTATATCTCCATATATACCTATGAATCCATATATACACATGCACACACATCTACACAAAAATTATGTGTATATCCCCATATCTACACATATACACTTATAGAGAAATACATACACACATATCTACACGCATATCCACACATACCCATATACTTATATATATATATATATCCACACACATAAAGTTATATGTAAATCCATATACATATACACATATACACATACACATACAAATGCCCATATGTACATCCATACACATGCACATATATACGCATACACATATACATATACACATATACACATACACACATATACACATACACACACACATATATATACACACACACCCACACATACATCTATACATATATATATACACACATGTATATATCTATATATACACACACACATATATATATAGGCATACACATACATATACATACACATGTCCACACATACACCCACTTATGCCTGCATTCAAAGACCATATCAATATCAATATGTAATTACATTATGAATACACAAAGTCGTATAATTATACATATCTCTACACATATATTACCCGCTATCCCATACGTATGGCAAGACATATAAGTACCCATCTAGTTATACACATTCACACTCACAAAAAACGCTTGTATGCCTCTCTTTTCATATAAACGCATATACATGTACGCATCAAAAAGTATATCAGTGTTCAAGTACAATACCATAGATATATACATACAGTCATGTGTTCGCGCTCATGCGTGCATAGTAATATTTCCAACAGCAAAAAGACCAAAGGTCATTCAATATTGTTCTTTCTATATAGCTATTTTTCAATGTATTTACTTAGGTTTAGGTTGTTCTTGTGTCTGCATTTAAAAACTAGTTCATTGTGTCTATTTAGCAATACGTCTGGATCTTTATGTTTGATTATGAGGATTTTTTCTTTCATGCATAAGTCGCATCTGTCTCTGAAAGTTTTGAGGGTTTTGGCTCTCGATATTATTTTCCACTTTATTTGTGGGGTTAGGCCACCCTCCAACAAATCCCAATAATGTTTTGACAGTGCCGTTTGGTTCTTTTTACATTTATTTTTGAAGGATTGGCGATGGTTGTACAGTCGGTGTTTCCAATTTCCCGCTGATATTCCTATGTATATCTTTCTCTCCTCAACCTTCTCTTTGGGGAAAATTGTTGCTTTATATATATATATCGAAAAACTATGTGTAGGGATTTGGACCTGATTTTTCGTGTTTTGTTGTTTAGGGTTACTGCTCTGTCTTGGCTTATATACTATAGACATTGAGCACTTTTGGTTATTGCGTAATTAGGTGTATCTCTTTACTTTCTTTTTATGTTTTCTTCCCTTTTTTCGCTGTTTTTAATTTTTTGTTTCTTTTTTGTGAACTTTTTTATTAGGCAGGTTTTATATTGGTTGGTTTGTGTCTGAGAGCCTTATCGATAACTTCGTTAGATTTTTCGTTTCTCTCGATATATATATATATATATATATATATATATATATATATATATATGTGTGTGTGTGTGTGTGTGTGTGTGTGTGTGTGTGTGTGTGTGTGTGTGTCTGTTTCAGTGCATGTGGAATTATTCGGATATAAATAAAAAATATATATGTAAATATACAATATGAATAAGAACAAAAGGAGAACTTTTCTTCAGCAACACCTCACGTGCTGAGACTGTAGCCCTGGCAGGGTGAGGTTGTGGCTCTGTAAACAAACAGGGGCAACTCTTGTCAATGAGGAAGTTCTAAATATGCTTAGTAAAATTCTATAATATTCTGATTTCGCTCACATCGTGTAGCATGGTAACCATTGTGTAGCATGGTAACCATCGTGTAGCATGGTAACCATCGTGTAGCATGGTAACGTAACAAAAGTTAAAAATGTGCCATTCAGTGACATTTAAAATCGAAGGACAGATATTTGAAGTGTTTCGAATTTAATTCCTACAGC